GAAAGAGAAAATGCAAGGGGCTGCACATGAACGTGTGAGTTACACACACACACACACACCTTATCAAATTAAAATTTTGCATGTGTAATATCTATGTAAGTAAAATCCAAATGAATGTATTTAGTGTCATTTAGTCAGAATGAGTGTGTGTACTTGTCATTTTGTTTTACATTTAAATTTCTTTCTTTTATGCTGTATGTTAGGTTAGGATTTCGTTCAGCCAGTAACTGCTTGCAGAAATGTCCACACACACACACACACACACACACACACACACACAGACACAGACACAGACACACGTGCACACACACACACACACACACACACACACACACACTCCCTAAAGCTGATCATAATGCACTTCCACTCTGGAGAGGAAACATATCTCACACAGCCAGAGACACAGACTCAAAGAGACACCAGTTCCTGACACACACATACACCCTTTACTTAAGGAAAATCACAGCATGCTGATTTCCGTGCGGTAGTACAGGGCTGAAAGCTCAGCTCCTTTCAGAAATTACTCGACTGTGTAGCTCATGTAATTGTGAATGTACATTTCTGTACAAGCACATGTTTTACAAGTATATATTTTTCTATCTCTCCTTCTGCAGCTGTTCTTTTTCTTTGAAATCCTCTAATCGCATTGGTTTATATTCAAATTAAAATAAGTTCTGGTTGAACTCTAAACCTTATCTTAAGTGCACACACAAACAGTTTGCATTGCGTTCATGGTAAACCCATGCCTTTGTGTTTTCTTTTCATTCCACCGTTTCTCCTTGTCTACTGGTCTGCCTATTATACATTCTCACCATCCTTGTAGGTGGAAATGGGTTATATTATAAAATATTGTTGTACGAAATGGTAAGATATATGATTTATTCAGCCTGTTAGAGGCTTATAAATCAAACAAAATAACAGTAAAAATGTTTAAATCTCAGTACATCCATTTCACTGACCTCGCTTCTGTCTCCTCTCTCCTGGAACACACACACACTCACACACACAGTGTTTAAACAGAGGAAATCCTCTCTTCCCGTTGGCCAAGTGTGTGTTTACTCACAGAAGGACTCCACTACACTCCAGAATTGAGGTCACACACAGGGTCAAAGGGCATGGTCCCTCACTCCACATTTACACGTACAGCGTGTACCTGACTTCACTTACACCGAAGCAGACTATGCCTTCCTCTTAGTAATTCACTCAGGCTACAAACACCCACAGAGTGTTAAGTGTATTAAAAAGTTGCATGAAACCAACTGACACAAAAAAAATAGAATTTTTCTTCTGAAAGAATTGAGGACCATGCAAATATAAAACATAGTTACTCAACAGTAAAGTCCACCACAAATGCTACATTTGAGGAAGGGCCAATATAGTTTATGCTTAGACCTTAATTTATATAAAAGAAATAAAATAAATTTAAAAAATCATGAAGAACATTATACAACAGTTTAAATATGATTGTTTGAGCAGCCTTCCAAGTGTTCTTATATAACAGCAAAGACTTTAGAAGTACCAAGACAGGGCACTCATGTTACTAATGGGAGAAAGTGCAACATGCAATATAGTGGAATAAGTCCACTCTAAATAAAAGAGCCAATCACCAACTGGGAAAGTTATTGCATCACTGCACCTGCCACTAGAGGCTCCAGTTTCCGAACAGTTCTAAGAATGTAAGAAACAGTGACAATTATATTTACACTTGAGCTTGGTTGCTCACACGATTAAGACTTCACATGCGCATTGACTAGTCCAGCCTGAAAAATAAGCTCTACATGAGAAACAACATTTATGGGACAGTTCATGTCAGATTCTGTTGCTGATTTGAAATGCATTATTTAACTGAGTGTGGGAAGCAGTTTTTGAGATTTCAGAATTTCCCCATTCAGGTAGGTAGGATTTGGTCTTGTATGCCTGGAAAAGCCGAGGCTTTGCAAATACGGCAGCCGAGCAGAAACACTGTGCAGTACTGTAGTGGTGGGAATTTCTCAGTCACTTTCACTGTCTTGTTGAGTAAGAATTCATTCATCTGATTTATTAAAAAGCTTAATCATTCAGGAACCAAACAGGTGACTGCCTTTGTAAGTCAGTGAATCATTTATTTGTAAAATCAGTTCAATCAGGAACAAAACACCATTGGGTGTGTTGCTTGGAGATGTGCAGCTGTACTGTCGTGTGTCAAGTGTGTTTTTAGGTTGTGGTTAAGACAACCATTTAGTACAATGCAAATATAATTTGCAAAAAGTTCAGATTCATTACAATAAATTCTAGTTCTTCAACTGTTTGTCTTTTTCTTCAATGCACTCTTTTGGACAAGAAACCCCCAAGTGTCTGATATGTCAGCGTCAGTGTCACGATCACTCACTGAAGTGCCCATGATCTCCACCAGAGGTCACTCCATCCTTTTACCATTTACTCAGGACTCCATTTCCCACAATCCTTTGCCCGGACTTATCAGCACTCCTTACCAGATCACATCTGCCTCACATTAGAAGGACTATAAAAGATCCACTCAGACACAAACACATCGCTGATGGTTGTTAGCCTGTAACGTTCCCGTGTTCTCCTGTGTTACCCTTGTTCCTTGTTGCCTTGCCTTGCCTTCGTGTTTTGATCTTGGACTGTTTCCTTGTATTTGATTGTTTGCTGCCTGCCCAGACCATTGCCTGTGTATTGGATTACTCTTTTGCCTGTTCCTTGGATTTTACTGTTTTGCCGGTGTTTGACCCTGCCTGTCTGACTACGCTTTTAATAAAGCCTTGAATGTGGATCCTCTACTCCGTTGTCACGACTCCACGTTACAGTCAGGTCTGTGCTTAAAATAAATGTTATCATTTAGTTATGTCATTAAGTAGCTAGGTATATCATTTAGTTTAGTGTATGTAGTTATGTTGTTGTTGTTTTTTCACCCCGCCCCACTGTATTAAGTTGTGACATACCAATCTGACATCAAAGAACAAGTGGCAACAAAAGCGGCCTTGTGTCACCTGCATCTGGGCCAAAAAAATGAGGTTGAAAACAGAGCGAAAACTACAGCCAACTAGCAAGTACTAGCCTGTAGCATGTATATTCTGTGCTTGTGTGAGAGAAGAAACTTTTCAGTACCAGCAGGTGGCAGTAGTCTGTATTTGTCAAAGGGAAAGTGGAACTAGCACTTCGGATATACAAACCATAAACAAAGCAGCAACTGCTTATCATTTTCAATATAAATGATGTTGATCATCTTCACTTTCTTCAATCCAGACGGCTTAGTCGTTATGAAAATTTTCTTATATTGGAATGCTCATGAGCCAATCAGAGTGGTCTCTCGCACGATGACTCCAACACCTTAATCGGCCGTAAAGCCAATGGCGATCCAACTCGTTCCAACGGTGCAGAACACATAGCAAAAACTGGGCTGGCAAATGCTCACCGATGGCCTGACATTGGCCGACAGCCGACTATCAGTTTGGTGTGCTACGGCCTTTCTATGAAAATGTTTGACATTAGTGCAAAAAAATTATTTCAAATGTGGCCTTTAACACATTTAGGGAAAAAAAAGTATTACAAATAAAGACTTTATTCAAAAATGTATTCAAATTTGGGCATTTCTTTTTTTTAAATTTGAGAACCAAAAAGGGCCAATATATTTGTTACCCCACCCCCAAAAATATGTACCCCCAATGTTCAAGATATAGTTGTTGGAAAAATAAAAGCAATATCACTTAAATGTTATGTCTGTATTTCAGCATGGCTGATTGTTGTGAGAGTGATTTTGATTTAATATAAAGATTTTACAAAGAGTTTAAAGGGGTTTATTTAGAGCAACTTTCTAAATTTTCATGTATGAAGGAAACTCATATAGCACATTTTAAGTCCATTCCAGGCTTAACCAGACTAAAGACAAGTCAAACTGCAGCCTGTGTCCGTTAATCTGGCACCTCCATGCTAATCACCTCTTTATTTAATTAATTTTCTCACTTACACCTCCATCCCAATGAGCATTGCTGAGGTTATCAGGGATCAGATGTCACCCATTAAAGTCCTGGAATAGACCTTTGATTAGTGTTGGAGTACTGGCAGTGTAAGAACCGCACTGAGATTCCAGTAGAGCAATTCAAGCATTTTAGAATTATAAATGTTTGACCTATTGTTCTCTTAGTAGTATGCACAGGGGGCAGTGGAATCTTAATTGATATATTCAATTTGCTACACCATTGGGGAAAGTCATGGCCTAATGGTTAGAGAGTCAGACTTGTAACCCAAAGGTCACAGGTTTGAGTCTCTGTACCGGCAGGGATTGTTGATGGGGGAATGAATGACCAGCGCTCTCTTCCACCTTCAATGCCACGATTGAGGTGAGACCCTTGAGCAAGGCACTGAACCCCCAACTGCTCCCCGGGTGCCACAGCAAAAAATGGCTGCACACTGCTCTGGGTGTGTGTTCATGGTGTGTGTGTGCACTTGGATGGGTTAAAATTCCAAGTATGGGACACCATACATGGCTACACGTCACTTTCTTCTTCTTTTCTTTCTTTCTTACCTGGTCACATATGATTATTCTAAGTGGTTTATTTAGACTATAGAGAGATGTTGGTACTCATGATACTACCACTGTTGATCGCCCACTTTTAATTAGGTTATTAATTTTAATGGAAAGTCTCATCAAATGCAATCAAATTTAGCTGCTGACATGCATTGGGCTGTGAAATCACTACATTACAGTGTGGTTGTGAAATCACTACATTACACACACACACACACACACACACACACACACACACACACACACACA